TCTCCAGACCTCAATCCAATAGAACATCATTGGAGGGAGCTTAAACTCCGTGTTACTCAGCGACAGCCCCGAAACCTGACAGATCTAGAGGAGATCTGTGTGGAGGAGTGGGCCAAAATCCCTGTTGCAGTGTGTGCAAATCTGGTCAAGAACTACAGGAAACGTTTGACCTCTGTAATTGCAAACAAAGGTTTCTGTACCAAATATTAACACTGATTTTCTCAGGTGTTCAAATACTTATGTTCAGCAGTGCAAAACAAATAAATTCTTTAAAAATCATACAATGTGATTTCCTGAATTTTTTTTTTAATTCTGTCTCTCAGAGTGGGAATGGACCTACAATGTGAATTTCAGACCCCTCCATGATTTCTAAGTGGGAGAACTTGCAAAATGGCAGGGTGTTCAAATGTTTCTGTTCCTCACTGTAATTCCCCTCTCTACGTTTGTTGTAGCAGCCAGTCACAAAGGTGAACACACAATCGGGCCAAATCTTCAGCAGAGAGAGTGGCTTGTCCCAAACTAACTTCGGGATCCATGCGGACTCTGGAGAACCAGGTATCACATGGACTGACCTAACCCTAGACTCAGCAGGACCCACTGTACTTGTTCCCTGCTGGGAGTCGCCTGTGATGCAGCTGAGCCACGCCGAGTTACAGGAAGACTGCATCACTGGGACTAGGTAGACCTAAACCCTCTGCACTAAACCTAACTAATGGCATGAAAGCAGCAGTAAAGTGTTTATGTGCCACCTTGAGGCTGGGCAGCTCGTTGCTGTCGTCCACACTCCTCGGTTGGATCTCTGGAGGTTCACAATACAGGTGAGTATTGTCCAGAGTTTTCACCTCACACTTCTGATCACCGAGCTGAGCTGTCACTTCATGTCTGGACATCGCTCTGGTCAGGTCCTGCCCCTGAGGGACAAAAACATGACATCAGTGGACTAGTTTATAATGATCAGGGCTTCTGTCAATCAAGAGGCTGTCAGTTTACCTCCACAGCGATCACTCCTCCAGGTTTGAAACGGTACGGAGCATCCGGAGCTTCCCGGTTCAGAGGAAAAAGCTCCGGATTTGGATAATAAGTAAAGCTTTTACCCTGAGACAAAGACAGGTAGAGAGACAGACAGGTTACTGCATCTGACACATGTTGCATGTCTGTTAATGCCTTGTTTCTGTAATGTTAGAGAGAACTGTTGTAAGGCTGGAGAAGTTACTATGTCTGCATTATGCCAATTAAAATATGGGGTTTCTCAGTTACCCACTTTGTTTAGAGAGTGTAATGGGAAAGTTATATCAGCACCCTTTTAGGTGTATTGGCTGTTGCTATGTAGTTATTCTATGCAGTTATTTGTGTGCTTGTGACACTAGACAGTTTACTGTGTCAGCATATACCGCTGTTTACCTCTGTGGAGGAGAAATTCACATTAATTAATGCTGTCGCAGTTCGTTGTGCTGTCCACTTGCGATGTAGCACCAGCAGCAGGAGAAAACCTCTAATTTTTAGCAAGAGACTCTCTGGTTTTATCATTATGAAGTAATTACAGACTATTTGGACTTATGAGGGGTGCCAAGCTAATCTAGAGGTACCCCAGGTTAAACACTAAATGGCTGGAAATGAGCAAAATGAGCAGACACGGGCTCTTTAAGCATTTTGAGGTTGCAGCTGTCCAGCTGTCATGTACCATTACCATGGTTAAAATTGTCTCCATCTTTGTTGCATAGGCTACTGTGGTTACAGGTGTGTATCTGTCCCTGATTCTACAGTGGCTGATTTAGTCCCATACGGACTTAACTCTTGTTCACTTGGTTCAGTCTGAGAGGAGAAGCTACATCATTGGAGAACATTAACACAGTGAGACTTGTTTAGCCGACATCTAGAGGAAGATTTAGATGGTCAATATTCATCCTGGAACTGACTGGTTTCTTTGGACAGCAACTCACAGATATGTGACTGACAGAATGTTAACGTCACATCCACATTCAGAGCACTTCTTGTGCAGTGACCCGACCTGTTCATAAATGTTGGCATGCTGCTGCACTTTCGTTGTTTGTCCCAGCTGTGTTTGTGCCTTTGGATGAGGAGCACTCTAATGCATCTCCGTCAGTGTCTTTGCCTCCCTTCAGCTCTGCAGGCCCCAGTAGAGCATTTAGTTGTTGTCCTACTCAGTTTCCATGTCTCTTACAAACTAGATCCTGTCATTTTACTGGGGTTAAAACATTGTGCAGAACATGGGGTGGAACGGTTCAGTTTTCGGTTCGGTATAGTTTAGGTAAAGGAGTGGGAGGGTATTGCTAGTTTCAACATCCCTTTCATTTCTTTGGAAGAAAAGTTAAATGCTTGCCTTAAAATTTTGGTAAGACCATAAGGAACACTTCTTCAGTTCAATCACCCCCCTAACACCTATTGTCAAATTATTAAAAGAATAGGTTTTCTAATTAGTGCAAACACAATGCAGCTTTGTTATTTTTATATAAAAATGGCCACATATGCTAAAGTGCAGCGTGCACCAAACACACACTGTTTCATAACAACACTGCTCAGCTCATTGTTTTTATGTTCTTTTGCAAGATGATGAAGTTTGTTCACATTCTCGGGTGCAAGACGAGCTCTGCTAGAGAAAATTCTCTCACTCAATTCATGTGTACCTGGAACAGCAAGGTACATCTGTGGTGGTCTTACCCTTTATCAAATGTGTCAGCTGACAATAAGCACATAACAGGTGCATCACCCCTTTAGTGAGGTGTAATCTCCAGACACAGATGTTTAAATCACTCAAATCCTGTTATTTTCTGTTGCAAACCTTTTACTGGTATCTGTTGTGTGTATTCAGGCTCCTGATGAAAATGAGCATTTTGGGTTCACTGTACCCTCGCTGTAGTGAGCTGGAGGAAATCACCACAATTGGGCTAATAAATTCATATGTAAAAATGTGCTGATCCTTTCCATGAGCCTCGATGAAACTATTTTTGTCCAATACATTTCGGTTTTTGGTCAGCTTGTAGAAGACTGCTTGTCTGGCTGGCAGACAGACAGCTGTTCTCATAACCTGACCCGCTCATGCCTTGCTTTCAGTGTGAATTCCCAGTAAATCCGTAGAAAACTGAAACCATGAGGCGGATCCTCTAACTCTATTTTGTCTTGTCCACTTGCTATTTTCAAGACTGAAAGCTGCACTCAACACTTCATCTGTGCCTAACAAATATCACTAGGTAACTGGTGCGAGGCTTTCCCCCCTAATAACTTTAGATGTTTTCTGCATATGGCTCAACCTATTTCAAGTGAACTCAACAATACATACTGCACATGGCCAAACCATGACTTGTGAACTGCACAAGTTGGATTTTTTACTTGACCCACTCCACCAGTATCCATGACTTAAATTTCCACCTCCCCCTGATGCTCATCCTGTCTGAATGGAGCTTTAGATTCAGATAAAATCATTTTCTAACACCATGTCACTGACAGACGGTCAGACAGGCACCTTGATGCTCTCATAGTGGACTCTGACGTTGTCCAGCTGAAACCATACGCCCTTCACTTTGACCTCTGGGGACACTGTGGGGGTCGGACAGGTCATTTGAGAGGATGACAGGCCAGCGCAGCGCTCTGACATCTGAGACAGACAGATGAAGAGAGAGACAGGTTCAATTAAAATCACTGTTACTCACTGAGATCCATCTCTGATCTGCCAGTTGATCTCACCGTAGTCATAGTGCTGTTGAAGACCAGCTGCTGCTTGGCAGTGAGGAGAGCCAATCGTCTGCGCCGTTTCACTCTCTGAAGTTCAATTGGCTCCACCCACACTGATATGATTGGCTGCTGCACCACATCCAAGTTCCTGCCTGTAACCGTGATGACACGCCCACCACTGGAGAGAGGAAACCATCACCATGTTAGGACACTGTATTAGTTTAAATAAATGATTATTGAGTAGTTCTTTTTTTTTTAATTCTTACGCATAGAAGCTCTCAGCAGGTGTGACGTCGGTGATGATGGGGTCATCGAGGTAATGGAAGGCAACACTGGGAACAGTCCGCTCTGCTTTACCAAACAAAATCCGAACTGGTACTCTCCCAGTCTGATTACTAGAACCAGTCTGACACACCAACTGGGTGTCATTGACCTCCTCCACACTAACAGGAGAGGGGGTTTCAAAGAGACAAGGAAAGGAGGAGACAGAGAGAAGAGGAGAGGTCAGTGAAATTTGTTTTGTTTCCAACAGGTAGCGCTGGAAATTCATGAATCAAATACAGTTCAAAGGTTATAGCAGCAGTAGTACTATAGTACTGCAGTACTCACGTGTAGCAGGGCTGGGGGCCCAGGAAGGCGCTCAGGTCGGACGGTTGCCCGGTTAGCAAGTGTCGTCCCCTGATGGTCAGTCTAGTTCCTCCAGAGACTGGACCTTTCTCAGGAACCAGATCCAGGAGCTGAGGGTCCTGAACACAAGAACACACTGGGTCAGATTAAACACAACTGACTGGTTAAAGATGTTTACATACTGAACACATTCAAAAGAGCTTGTGGCTGAAACCTGAGCAAATATTTCCTTCACTGGAAACAGGACTCCTATCTTATCACCAGCTTACTGTGGTGGGGTTCTACATGTCCCATTGTCTCTGTTGTTGGGGCCTTCCAAGACAAACTGGTCCCAGATGAGGCGCCAGACTAAACCAATTCTAAACAGCTCTTTGTGGTGCAGCAGCCGCACACAGAGGCCATGCCCAGAATCTATGAACTGGCTTTATGATGCAATCACCAGGTGGACTGGTACAGAGTCAGCGGTAATGTAAACTCAGACTGTGGTGGACTATGGACTAGCTTCTGTTCACAACAGAATTGAGTCGTCCATTGACATATTCCACACATGGAGTAGAAAACATGACACTGACCCCCGGCAGCTTCATTTGATGTATTTGACTCAACAACACGGAAAAGTTGAAACTAAAGTGTAACCAGAACGGAAATAAGCAGCACACAATATGTTTTGTGTTGCTCATATACCACTGGCACACTCACATGTCAGATGTCTACACAAGTCTGTGCAGACTCTCGCATGAACTGCAGGACCCTCATCATCCTCACCTGATAGGTGAAGATCTGTGCCGACCTCCCAGGTGGAGTTGTTCCCACAGTAACCAGGACAGGCCCCTCCCTCCGCTCCCAACTGGGCTGCAGCTCACACACAACCCTACGACACACACACACAACAACACTGTGTTACCCAGTGTGTTTTGTGTTACTCTGTGTGTAGGCTACTTGTATAGTTGAGGTTAGAATAGAATAGAATGCCTTTTTGTCACTGCATGTAACATATGACAGAATTTGGTGTCTACCAACTGTCTGCCATTCACTCCTCCATTCACACCCGCACACCCACAAATACACACACATAAAAACAGCAGATTAAAATATGTAAAAATTCATTCATCAGATTTGAAGTGTCTCATGTGTGTTATCGCACAACAGTATGACATTGCACATTTGTTTAAGATTGTTGTGGTGGCAGTGGAGCGGTGGGAAATAGGTGTGAGTTCAGTTGACTGATGACCGCTGGGCAAAAGCTGTTCCTGAGTCTGACATACGGCTCTTTAGGGCTCTGTCCCGGTGCCAAGAAGTGGTGAAAGGGTGAGTATAGTCATTGATGACAGGCTCTGCTGTGGCAGTGAGGCCTGTAGGGGTTCGCGGGGGGGCCAGTGGAAGTCCCACACCGGGCTGTAATACAGTATGTTAAAATGCTTTCTACTGAGTAGTGGTAGTAAGACTTAAGCAGCTCTGCAGAGAGATGGGCCTACTTCAGGATTCAGAGGAAGTAATGTCTCTGTTGAGCTTTTTTAACAAGAGCAGCAGAGTTAACAGTCCATTTGAGGTCTTCACTAATGTGGATGCCCAGGAACCTAAAGCTGGAGACCCTCTCCACCTCCTCTCACCCTATTTTCAGCACCAGGAACCCCTCTTGGTGTTATCTAAAGTCTATAATAAGCTCCTTTGCCTTTTTGATGTTCAGTGACAGGTTGTTATCTGCACACCAGACAGACAGTCTGCACACTTCATCTCTGTAGGCAGTCTCATTGCCATTTGAGATAAGCCCCACCACTGTTGTATTGTCTGCAATTGTAATTATTGTATTTGTGGGATGAACTGGTGTGCAGTCATATGTGTAGAGGGAGTAGAGAGGGGGACTCAGCACACATCCCTGTGGTGCTCCAGTGCTGAGGGTCAAGGGCGTAGCAATGCGAGTGCCCAGTCTCGCACTCTGTGAACGATCACTGAGAAAGTACTTGATCCACAGACACAGTTGGTTGCTGAGAACCAGGTCCAGCATTTTTGTGACTAGCCCGCTGGGGACAGTGGTGTTAAAAGCAGACAAAACACATCCTTACATATGTCCCCTTCTGCCCCAGGTGGTTTAGTGCAGTGTGGAGAGCAGTGTTTATGGCATCCTATGTGGATCGGTTTGCTCTACATGCATACTGATGTGGGTCTGAAGTAGGGGAGAATGGATTTGATATGTCACAGGACAAGTCTTTCAAGGCACTTGGCTATGTAGGACTATGGTTCTTGTTACCATTGCTAACTCTGAGAGACGAGACAGTCCAAGTAACTTCAAAACAGTGCTGATTTATTCAAAGGATCACAGGTAAAATTAACATTACACACTCAGGTATCTTGCACCTCCAAACTGCTCACAGGCAGATGTAAGATGAAAGACCCTGAACCCACCAGGCCTATACATTATATCCCCTCGGTTGGGCTAGCCCCATACTACACAGAAATGTCAACCGAGACGTCTCTGTTACCAGCTTTGCAGCTGGCCATAGCAGTAGTCAAAACATGAAGCAAATCAATGTGTGTGTGTGTCTGTTGATTAAGTGGTGTGTAACTAAAAACATTCTCACACGACCTCTAGTACATGTCGTGACTTAAACATAAGAACATATTATGGCTAAGGCTACAGTTATACACGTCATAATAATAATATTAAACATCCTGTCTGCTGACAGTCATCAACTTTTCTCTCTAGTTATCCTTGACCAGATGTACCCTGTAGAAACTCATAAGCATGACTAAGCATTTAACAGTCTAACTAGACATCCTATCTCCACTAAACATTTCTAATACATAAAGTATCTATCCAGTTTCTATCTGACTAAAAATACCTAACAGCTATGATAGGTGTGAGTGCAACTGATCTGTAGGCATTCAGGGAGCTGGTGTTGGTCTGCCTGGGCACCGGGATGATGATAGTGGTTTTCAGGCAGGCTGGCGCAGTAGTATGTGCCAGGGAGAGGTTAAAATCGTCTGTGAAAACCTCTACAAACTGATGAGCACAGTCCCTGAGTACCCTGCCTGGGATCTCATCTGGACCTGCCGCCTCCTTGGCATTAACAGTTCTCAGGATTTGTGTCTGGAGGGTAGGTGAGTGGTCAGCAGAGTCCAACTGGGATGAAGTTATGTTGTCCAGTCCTCTCTCAAATCAGGCAAAGAAGCAATTCAGTTCCTCGACCAGCGAGGCCCTGTTTGCTGTCAGTGGATCTCTGCTGCCCCTACAGTTGGTTAAGTGCTGGATGTCCTGCCACATGCGTGCCGAGACCCTGGAATTGAAGTGATCCTCAGTCTTCTCCTTGTATGAAGCTTTAGCTGATCTTATGCCTCTCTTGAGGTTATGTCTGGCAGTGCTGTACAGATCTTTGTTGCCAGAAATGTAGGCTGCATTATGGTCTCTCAGAAGAAGCTGGACCTCCTTAGTCAATAATGCGGCAGAGACTAGTCTACCCGAAAGACAAAACACCCAGACATAAACAGAGTGATGTGGTGTATGCAATTAAGTGTAGTCGACTTGTACATTGGTGAAACTAAGCAGCCGCTTCACAAACACATGGCCCAACACAGGAGGGCCAACTCCAGTGGACCAGAGTCAGCAGTCCACCTCCACCTGAAGGACAAAGGACATTCTTTTGAGGACAGTGAAGTCCAGATCCTCTCCAGAGAACATCGCTGGTTTGAGAGAGGAGTTAAGGAAGCTATTTTTGTAAAAATAGAACACCCCTCACTAAGTAGCGGTGGTGGACTAAGACACAACTTGTCTTCCATCTACAATCCTGTTTTGAGATCTCTGCCCAAACATGCCCACCAGGACAATAGGCGTCGGTTGACAGGGGAGGATCCAAAGACAGGTAACGACTCTCACCGATACTGGGCTGCAACGACTCAGTCGTTAAGGGACATTGTTGGCCTTCAAAGGACTGAAACCACACCGAGGGGGGATAAATATCTCCGGTTCAACACCAGTCAGTCAGAACTGATGAAGCCTCTTGGATGAGAGGTGAAACGTCTTCGATCTAGAAATCTAAGTCCAGTTGATTTTTTCTAAGGTTTTTTCAGTTTACTATAACCTGGATGACTGAGAATCTGCACAGAGATTAGTCAATCATGGTTTCCTGTTTGGGAATACATGGATGCACTTGTTGATGGTGACACTCTCTATGCGGCATCTGATGTAGAAGAGTACAGTTGATGTGCACTCTTCTAGTTCCTGAGTGGAAAACAGATTCCACTCAGTGCATTGAAAGCAGTCCTGCAGTTGTAAGGATGCTCCCTCTGGCCAGGTTTTAATTGTTCTAATAGTGGGCTGCTGTTTCTTGGTGATGGAGAAGTAAGCTAGGGATAGAAAAAGTGACAAGTGATCAGACTTGCCAAGGTGAGAGAGGGGAGAGGCTCTATAGCCTTTGGGAATGTTAGAATAAACAGTCCAGTGTGTTTTCCCTCTGGTTTAGCATTTGACATGTTTTTCAAACCATGGAAGCACAGTCCTCAGGTTGACATGATTTAAATCACCAGCCACAATAAAGACATCATCTGTTGCTTGTTTATTTCCATTAGCATGTAGCTGAGTGCTATGTTAATGTCCAGTGGTAAAAATATGGCTGTAACAACAACAGACATCTCCTGTGGCAGACAGAAGGGCCTGCACTTAACTGCCACCAAGCAATGCTTACCACAAAAATGGCAGTGTTCGTGCACCTGTTATTGTTCGTGCACAGTCCACCCTGGTGGCTCTTACCAGAGTCCTTGTCTATGTCACTGGGATGGGCAGAGCAGCCCACTAGCTGGACAGCTGTGTCCTGGGTGTAACTAAGTCTCATTGATGATCATCATGTAAGATTTGAGTCTTATAGACTCTAGTTACTTTATCAGCTTTAGTTACTTCTCATACCTGTAGTTCCTTTTAGTTACCTTTCATAACTTTATCTTACTTCTTTATGCATATTACAGCTGTATTGATGATTGTCCAGAACTACTGAGCTTTGGTTATTTTAATGCATTTGTTTCCCTTGCTTATATATCCTACAGCTGTAATGAAGCAGAATCTGCTTACTTTGAATGCTGTAACTTCTGTGTAGAGACTAGATGTCTGCATCTCT